ACCAGGACCCTCTGGGGTGGGATCCACTCGTAGGTGACCCCCTGGAGGTCCACGGAGCACCTCAGGGTGACCTTGCACTGACCGCGGTCACCGGTGGTGGTGGCCGTCACGTGGGGCTTGGGGACCAGGTCTGTGGGAGAGCTCAGGAGGTCACAGAGTCCTCATGGAACTCTGGGACAACCCCCTGGAGCTCTGGGACAACCCCCTGGAGCTCTGGGACAGCCCCCTGGATGTCACAAAGTCCTCCTGGAGCTCTGGGACAGCCCCCTGGAGCTCTGGGACAGCCCCCTGGAGCTCTGGGACAACCCCCACGAGATCTCAATGCCCTCATGGAGCTCTGGGACAATTCCCAGGACATCTCAACATCCTCCTGGAGCTCCAGGAAAATCCCCAGGACACCTCAACATCCTTCTGGAGCTCTGGGACAATTCCCAGGATGTCACAAAGTTCTCCAGGAGCTCTGGGACCATCCCCAGGACATCTCAAAGTTCTCCTGGAGCTCTGGGACCATCCCCAGGATGTCCCAAAGTTCTCCAGGAGCTCTGGGACCATCCCCAGGACATCTCAAAGTTCTCCTGGAGCTCTGGGACAATTCCCAGGAGCTCTGGGACCATCCCCAGGACATCTCAAAGTTCTCCTGGCGCTCTGGGACCATCCCCAGGACATCTCAAAGTTCTCCTGGAGCTCTGGGACCATCCCCAGGACATCTCAAAGTTCTCCTGGAGCTCTGGGACCATCCCCAGGATGTCACAAAGTTCTCCTGGAGCTCTGGGACCATCCCCGAACTCACCGTAGACCTTCAGCAGGAACTCCTCGACGCTCTCCTTGCCCGCGTCATCCTCCCGGTACAGCTGGAACCGGCCGCCGTCCCCGCGCCTCAGGTGGCCCAGTTTGAGGGCGTGGTTGCCCAGGAGCTCCAGGCGCCCCTGGAAGGGGCTCTGGGGGTACTCGGGCTGCTCCCCCCGTTTCCAGATGGCGATTCTCACCCGGTTCTCCCAGCGCCAGTGGATTTGGGAATAATCCGCGGGATTTTGGGATCCGCGGGGGCTCAGGAGCGCCGCGCCCCCCACGGCGCCCGTCGCCTCCAGGGGTGCGGCTTCCTGCGCCCAGGCTGCCAAAAAAAACCACAAAACACCCCAAAAAATCGGGAGGGTGTCGTTGGGTGGTCCCGCTTTTCCCGGGTGTCGTCCCGCTCGGAATTCCGGGGGCGTTTAAAGCGCGGTATTAAAGGTTAAAACGTGATATTAAAGGTTAAAATGGGATATTAAAGGTTAAAACGTGATATTAAAAGTTAAAAAGGTTATATTAAAGGTTAAAATGGGATATTAAAGATTAAAATGGGATATTAAAGGTTAAAAATGTGATATTAAAGATTAAAGTGGGATATTAAAGGTGAAAAACGTGATAATAAAGGTTAAAATGTGATATTAAAGATTAAAATGGGATATTAAAGGTTAAAAACGTGATATTAAAGGTTAAAATGGGATATTAAAGATTAAAATGGGATATTAAAGATTAAAAACGTGATATTAAAGGTTAAAAACGTGATATTAAAGGTTAAAATGGGATATTAAAGGTTAAAACGTGATATTAAAGGTTAAAAAGGTGATATTAAAAGTTAAAACGTGATATTAAAGGTTAAAAAGGTGATATTAAAGATTAAAATGGGATATTAAAGATTAAAATGGGGATATTAAAGATTAAAATGGGATATTAAAGATTAAAATGGGATATTAAAGGTTAAAAATGTGATATTAAAGGTTAAAATGGGATATTAAAGATTAAAATGGGATATTAAAGGTTAAAATGGGATATTAAAGGTTAAAAACGTGATATTAAAGGTTAAAAATGTGATATTAAAGATTAAAATGGGATATTAAAGGTTAAAAATGTGATATTAAAGATTAAAATGGGATATTAAAGGTTAAAAATGTGATATTAAAGGTTAAAATGTGATATTAAAGGTTAAAATGTGATATTAAAGGTTAAAATGGGATATTAAAGGTTAAAACATGATATTAAAGGTTAAAACGTGATATTAAAGGTTAAAAAGGTGATATTAAAGATTAAAATGGGATATTAAAGATTAAAATGGGATATTAAAGATTAAAATGGGATATTAAAGGTTAAAAACGTGATATTAAAGGTTAAAATGTGATATTAAAGGTTAAAATGTGATATTAAAGGTGAAAAACGTGATATTAAAGGTTAAAACGTGATATTAAAGATTAAAATGGGATATTAAAGGTTAAAATGGGGTATTAAAAATTAAAAAGGTGATATTAAAGGTTAAAATGGGATATTAAAGATTAAAATGGGATATTAAAGGTTAAAATGTGATATTAAAGGTTAAAAATGTGATATTAAAGGTTAAAATGGGATATTAAAGGTTAAAAATGTGATATTAAAGATTAAAATGTGATATTAAAGGTTAAAATGTGATATTAAAGGTTAAAAACGTGATATTAAAGGTTAAAATGTAATATTAAAGGTTAAAAACGTGATATTAAAGATTAAAATGGGATATTAAAGGTGAAAAACGTGATATTAAAAGTTAAAATGTGATATTAAAGGTTAAAAATGTGATATTAAAGGTTAAAAACGAGATATTAAAGGTTAAAATGTGATATTAAAGATTAAAATGTGATATTAAAGGTGAAAATGTGATATTAAAGGTTAAAATGTGATATTAAAGATTAAAGCACAATATAAAAGGTTAAAGTGCGATATTAAAAAGTGATATTAAAGATTAAAATGTGATATTAAAGGCTAAAACACGATATTAAAGGTTAAAGTGCGATATTAAAGGTTAAAATGCAATATTAAAGGTGAAAGCGAGATATTAAAAATTAAAGAGTGAGATCTTAAAAATTAAAGAGCGATATTAAAAATTAAAGGGCGATATTAAAGGTGAAAACACAATATTAAAGGTGAAAATGCGATATTAAAAGTGAAAATGCGATATTAAAGGTGGAAAATGCGATATTAAAGGTGAAAATGTGATATTAAAGGTGGAAAATGCGATATTAAAGGTGAAAATGTGATATTAAAGGTGGAAAATGCGATATTAAAAATTAAAACGCGATATTAAAGATGAAAATGCGATAATAAAGGTGGAAAATGCGATATTAAAAATTAAAACGCGATATTAAAAGTGAAACCGCGACATTAAAGACGAAAACTCGACTCCGCTGCCTCCAGAGCTCTGGAGGGGTGGGACGAGGATTTCAAATTTTCCCGCCCCCGAATTTCTCAGGAATTAATTATTTTAATTATTTTTGGATTTTTTTTTTTGGGATTCCGCCTGGCTCAGCCCATCCCCCACCCCCCGTGGTGACACCAGGGGTCCCCAAATGTCCCAAAGTCCCCAAAGCCACGTCCCCCCACCCCAGCCCCGTACCTCGCGCCACGAGGAGGAGGAAGAAGCTCGGTGTCGACCCCGGCGCCATCTCGGTGGGTGGGACCCCCAAAATCCAGTCTTGGACCCCCAAAATCCCGGCTGGAACCCCCAAAATCCAGTCTTGGACTCCAAAATCCAGTCTTGAACCCCCAAAATCCAGGCTGGGACCCCCCCAAAGCCTGGGGGGTTGGAAGGCGAGCAGGAGACACCACGTGATGGGGGAAGGCCAACGGTTCCTGTTTCTTTTTTGA